TAGTCTAACGTACTAGTGTCGGTAACTAGTATCGGTAACTTATTTGGGTGTCGAGGGAAGGGCAGCACCTATGTGTACCCGGAGGGCCTCTTGACGTAGGAGAGTTTCTCGAATTCCCGCACATTGCCTACGCTATTACCAGTGTCATCCCAAATTCCGCTGACATCTCTTAGTGGGCGAAGCAGGGAAAGGGGGAGTGTGAGCAGGCACCTCTGATCACTATCAGAAGCGCAAATTTTCCGAGCTGCCAGTTAGATAGGTATAGAGCGCGAGTGAAACGGAAAAACTCAATAATCGGAGGAAAACCTCCCCACATCAAATACGACCCTCCCCCACCCTTCTCCAGCGTTCAAGCACGACCTAATACTGGGGGTCTCCAAACGTACGACGATCTTAGGGCAGCGTTCAGACTTCGCGACGACAGCCCTTCAGCCGCGTGTTCGAACGCGCGACAGAGGCGCTACCGTCGCGAAGTCTGAACGCCTCCTAACATGTGTTTTCGATAGATTTCGCGATGGGAGCGATCCAGTCGCATGATGGGAAAAATCACCTGTGCAACAACTGCGTGGCTGCCAGGATCGCGCGTATAGTGCATCCCTGGTTACGGGAACTCCACCGCAACAAACTTTGATCTTTTCTCAGTCTTCGTACAGCAGGCGGCCACAATCTTTACATGGAGCCCCTCATTGCAAAATATACAGTAGCAAGGGTTCCAGAGTAGAGTTTTCTTTGTTGTAAAACAGCTATGCTGGACCATATTATGGAGCCAAATTGGCTGTGCGATTACTGCAATCTCTCACCGAGTAATCGCGCAAGTCGATAGCGCCATCATGAACTGTGAACGCGATCTTCCTTAACCAAGGCTCAGGCTAAAAAGAAGACGGCCACCAAACCTGTGTAACGACGACTCCGAGCGCCTGTGCTTTGAACTTCGGTCAGGGTGAGCGTTCAGATTTCAGCTGAAACAGCCATTGTACCAGGACCGGTAGAGAGAACTAACATAGATAGACATGCTGCAAGACAACATTGGCGCTTTTATGTAGGCACTCATTTTGTCGGTCGTGTTTAGTCACCTCGGACGGGCGGGACTCCTTTAACTGGAGAATGCCACCTTCTATCTTCCCTTGGTGCGAGTGTAAAGGCCGGTCACGATTGACTCACCCCTCCCCCTACTCGGCAGAACCAGTATCGCACAGAGAGGTGAGAGTACCAGTTTGGTGTTTTTGCGGATGCTTGACCCCGTTGTAATTTCAGGGGCGTTTCACAGACCATTTTCTGTCGTTATTGGCGTCATGTTTATTGGATGCAAACTGCCGTGTGGAGTTTCTGACTGTGAATGTCGACTTTCATGCCGTTGCCTCGGCTGTGCTTTTACGGTTCCTTCGCGCCGCTGAGCCTACATCAATCTCAATCTTTATAATAACGACATGTGACTACGCCTCATTCAGCATTCACTGAGTCCAGAAGTTCTCAATTTATTGTAACGAGACAATTCTTTAAAATCGTTGGAAATCGTGATGGTCTTCCTGTTCCAATAGACGACACTATTCTCGCGCAGATCACTGCTATCCACTTCGAAATCCTCATCCGCGTCATGATGGTGAACGCGTTCGACGGCTGTGAGAAATCGTTTCTCTCCGAGGTCAGTTTTGACACGCTTTTTGCGCTTGTTCGCCTGTCGAGGGGAGGCGGCGGGGGGGAGACATTGAAATCGCCCAGTTTCATTTCACATGTCCTCATGTTGGTGTATGTTACCGGCGCCTCAGCTTTACGGGAGTTTACAAGTTTCCACAAGTTGACTGAGGAGGCCTCGCTAAGGGGAAACGGACAGGACAATCGTAATGTGTCGGTCGTGGCGCGCGGCGCTTCATGCGGCTAAACTAGTACCAAGGGGAGGCAAGACTCCATCGCGGGCGATACAAAGCTTTCATCCCTTTCAGCCCTCGAACTTCAGACCAGCCTAAGCAAGACAAACCTCTGTCGCGGCCCTCGGACGTCGCTCTGCGAACCTCCGCAGCCAATTGGCGATATTGCAATTGTCTTGTCACATACCATTTTCTAGCTCAACGATTGGGTGTAGATCGTTCTTTCCCAGTCGCAGCATCGTGCGTACAAGGAGAGTATTTCACTTAGGAGACGCAGACGCTGAACGAGTCGACGCGCCGTAGCCCTACTATGTTGAGCGGATGGGTCCTGGTGCGAATGCTATTTGCGCCACCTCCTTGCAACGCTAATACTGTCGCACTTGCCGTGACTGAAAAGTAAAGGCTTTACCCGTACCTTACAATACATGTCTCCTCGTCGCTGGGAACTAGTACCTTCCAACCTTCCCTCCCTCCCCCCCCCTTCTCCTAACGCGAAGAGCTCCAATTTTTCTGCAGTGAGAACGGTTAAAAATTAACTCTTGTTTCAGCGTGTGGGAAGCGGAAAGCAGAAGGTGTTTTCTGGGGTAATCTACACTGATTTATTCTCTAGTGGAAACACACTCCCAGTAGTTCCTAATGTTGATCTGTATATGGGAGAAGAAGGCATGGTGTTTATGAACGATGAACCATGAACCATGTTTTTCTTAAAACGCCCCACCTCTACATTAGCGTCATTATTCACTTTGACCTGATCTGCCGACATAATAGCCACTCTCAAGAAGCCGGCGGTCCCACCATTCGAGCGTAAAAAACCGCAATGTTCACAAATATCTGTTAATACTATTTTTGCAATAATGCGGATATTCGCTGGGACATTTATTGATTGCTTGACGTTTCGGCCAAAGTGTCATCCTCAGTCCAGCGCAGCAATTCTGGACCTCTGGAGTGTGGAGCGACGAGCTCTGCTTCATTACACTATGCAAACCCTGGTGGCGCTAACGTAGTTGGGAGGGGCCACGCGGCTCGCGGCGAGCGATGGCTCATCTGCCCTTCTGTCCCTCCTCGGCAAAATAGAAGTAATTTCGCGTTTAGGACATGAATATAATTTCGCCCTAGCTATATTGAAAACAGTTAACAATGAAAGCGCGAAAAACAATTTCAGGCTTTTTTTCAGGAAGGTTTTTTCGTAAACTAGAAGATTTTGTTGCATGTTTGTCATTGACTGTTATTGTTGACTACAAAAAAAATCAAATTTTTAGCTACTATGGAGTTCTTCAACAAGCTCCCGGTGAACCTTATTTGTTTTATTTTGATATGGCTGCTAGATTCGCGTTTCAAGTATGCTGATGAGTGAAGAGCCGATGAGTCACCACTTGCCACGAGCCGCGTGGCCCCTCCCAACTACGTTAGCACCAACCTGGTCGTCTGCTTTATTGACCGTGGCGTCGTTGCGTCCCCCCGCCCCCACTCCATCAACCGCAGCGTTGCCAACAATTAACGTGATAATTGTGGTGATAGCAAGTAACCCAGCGCCACCACAGCATCGTTTTACTATAAAGTATGTCTATACTTTGCGTTAAGGTCTTAAGCGTATGAAAGCGTTCTGAGGGACTAGGAAAGTGTAGGCTCACCGATGTGCGCTGAAAATGCTGACGCTAAGTATGGACACACTCCTGGGGCTACTGGATGAGTCCTTGAGGAATACGCTCTTGAAACGTTTGGTCATCAGTGAATTTTCCACCAGTCATTTCACGTTTGCGAAAATATAACTTGTTCTTGTATGTACCCTCCCCTGTTTTTTTTTTTATTTTCCGTGTGACACTTTTCTCACAGCTGTATCTGAAGAGCTATATTTGTCCTCATGATTTGCATGTTAATTTAGTGAATAAACTTTAAACTGTGAATAGCTCCCATATGAATCCCTTAGACTGGTGTACAGTTCAACAGATATCTTTTTGAAGTGAAGGTTTCAGAAATTGGCGTATTCGGGAGGGGAAGGGCACAAGCCCTCTGTGTCGCT